GTCGGGATGATCCACCGAAGGTCCTAGTGCAGGAATGGTGTAATGTCAGTGACCCAAGGGGCAAAGAGCAACAGCTTGGTTCTTTGCTACGAATTCCATGAGAGAACCTAAGGTGATGAAGACCAGTTAGGGGTATGAGTGAGATTTGAGGAGTCCAGTGGCAGTAGTGAGTGAGTACGGTTTTATGCTGCTTTTAGCAATATTCCAGCAATATCACGGCTGGGGACACCAGAAATGGGCTTCACACATTGTACCCATGTCGGGAATCGAACCCGGGTCTTCGGCATGACGAGCGAACGCTTTAACCACTAGGCTACCCGACCCTGCCTCCAGTGCAAGTAGCTTAGTGAGTGAGTAAAGAATTAACGTCACATCGGCAATATTTCAGCCATATAGTGACGATCAAGTAGCTTAGAGAACCTAGCATGGATAATAGGAAGGCTGTTTTCTTTTTTTAGAAATGTAGCGGAAGCAAGATGTTCAAAGGGTTTTGTTAGTAGAGCAGATAAAACCACTGACAGGCTCCATTTCGGGAATGTACGAGGGACACGAACATCCTCCAAAAGGAATGAACGCATAAGTCTGTTTAAGATAAGATGATTGCCGATCGAAAGGCTCTCGTGTTGGAGAACTGAATGAAGAGCAGATCGATATCCCCCGATTTGTCCCATGACTAAACTTGTTATCTTGACAAAGATGTAGAAGGAAGTCGGCAACTTTAGTGATAGTAATGGCAACATTTCCTAATCCAGATTGTCGTCGCCATTGGATAAACTTATCCAATCTATTATCATAAAGGAGAGAGGTAGACGATCTTAGTGATTTAGCCACCACTGTAGAGAGAGATTCAGAGAATCCGGAGGCCTGCATTCTTTGCATGATAGCCTCCAGGCGTTGAGATATAGGTTCAGAGGATTCTCGTAGGAAAGGTCCGATCAGGGTTGACGCAAAAGATCTCTGCGGAACAATATTAGGAGAGGATCTTCAAATTAATAGGGCAAGGAGTCTGGGAAACCAAGGTCTTTTGGTCCAGATCGGGGCTATTAGAAAGATGGTACAATCTGTTAATCCTATCACCTTGTCTATGAGAGACCATGGAGGAAATGCATATGCACATAGGTTGACACAGTCCATGGACAGAGCGTCAATCTGCAGATCCGGTACCAGGCTGCTGTAGACTGGGAACTGATGGTTTAGACAAGTCACAATCAGATCCAGGTGAGTGTCCCATGACGATGTCTGGATGAAGAGTCCATTCTGTGGAAACGATCCTCCCGTGTCTGGACTGGCTGTCCGTGAAGATGTTCAACTTCCCTGGAATACGTCTCGCTTCCATCCGGCAGTTATATGAGTCGGCCAAGTAGAATAAAAGCGAGGTCTCCATCATCAGAGAACTGGGCTTGGTTCCTCCCTGTTTTTGTATACTGTAAATTTTGAAATTAATGCGAGCATGAATTAAATGAGAGTGGTCTTTGCTCGCATTATTAAACATAGCATTTATGTCAACAATAAGACATTTTGGATAGCAGAAATACCAACTTAGACATATGCTGAAAACAAACAACTGTGTATTCCACATCACTTGTAACAAGCATATTAACAATCTTATTCAAACACTAATTACATGCTGTGAATTGTCACTGCTTGGGTCAAGACAAAAGTTCTACTCACTTATGTCATCACTGATCACACCTGCATGTCCAGACAGACGCCACCCACACAACACGGTGTCTTTGTTCTTTGCGACTGCGTCAAAGGCCGACACGAGGCAGCTGAGGCGTCTGTAACCAGACAATGCTTTGGCGGGTAAAAAGTGAGAGGGATGCCCATCATGAGATGCTGTTGATGCGTCCACCACAGGAGGTGGTCTTGGAAGGTGATTGGTTATGTAACCAGGGTGTCTAACGATAGGTTTCGATGACCGTTTATCCAGGCCTGTAGAGGCAGTACATGTAGCCTTCCTCTGTAGGTCAGGTCCTGGAGAGATATTAACCTTCTGATGATGGACATCTACCATCTGATCGTATGAGTCGGTAAAGTCTGAGCATTGTAGATCAGGAGATAAGGGTCAGAAAAGTCCAGTTTTGAGGCAGAAAATCATCCAGGTATCCATGAAGGCGGACAAAATGGAGATTGTTACAGCTGATCATGGGTGCCGTTATTCTGGTGAACAGCCATGGCACAATCAAGATTCAGAATGACCTGGAACTCGTGGCGACGACCATTCATTGTGAACCTGAGGCAGTTCTGAGATAAAGGATGAATCAGCACATGGAGATAGGGGTCTTGAAGGTCTATACTATCTTTCTCACACAGTGTAGATCTTATCTTCCAGACAGATTCCATCTGGAATTTTGGAGGAGGTATGACAAAATCCTTGTTCAGGATCTTGAGGTCGATGATCATTCTCATTTTGGTGGAATTCTTCTTCCATATTATGAACCCTGGTGAATAAACGCCCTTGCTGGTGTCCTTGTGTGCGTATGGCTCATTTCTCCAATAATGTGTTGATGGCAAGATTGGCTGCCCTTAATTTCTTGCCTTCCAGAACAGGTCAGGTCCATAAGAGTAATTTGTCACCATGAAAGACAACATCTAGGATCCAGTGATCGTTGGTGATCAATTTCCAGTTGGTGGTGTAGATCAACAGACGTCTGCCAACTGGACCCAGGGTTGGCAAAATGATGAAGGGGGGTAATCGTAGATTGTAGTCCACAGAAATTGCCAGATTGATTAGGTTTGTGAGGAGGAGCAGGAATGTAGTCATCTATGGTCTCTGCAACCTCCCAACTTGGAGCCTCTTCTGTTGATCCTAGACCTGATTGACAAAAAGAGATGATACTGTGATTGATCTGCTCGTCTGAATGGTTGAGATGATTCTTTGCCAGAAGGGATATACTTCTTCCAGGGTGGTTCACGGAAGGGTCATCTCTTGAATGGTCTCTAGGTCTTTTAGATGCTTCATGAGCTCTGGTGGTGAGGTTAATAGTAGATACTTGAAACCTATCAGCTGTATCTGTTGGAGGTGGATAGTTCATTAACGTGATTAGCAGGTAGAGACAATCTCATGCTTGGATTCTTGACAGTTTTGAGAAAATCAGTGTCCAATTCTTGAGTCTTCAGAAACGGCGACTCATGTGTCTGTCTTTTCTTCAAGTTAAAGAGAAGCAGTCATCATGTCAAAGTTTTTGAAGATCATCTTAAGTACAGTCAATAATCCCTTGCGCATAAGTCGGTCATGGGAGTGTCTGGTGGACGTGAGATGTCACTGGGGCGTGGCAGTCTGCATACTCCAGCATTAGTGATGAAATTGTCCACAAAGGATAGAAGAGCATGGCATAGAAGTCTTAACTTCATGAAATTCAACAAATGTTATAATTGGGACAACACATTCTTAGTAAAGTACAGATTCTTGTTCTTTTTTCAGGTTGAGTCCTATCCAGGATTTAAACTCACACTGCCAGAAACTTCTTGTTCAGAAGGGATGTTGGAGGCTGTTGTATGCTGGTCATATAAACGATTAGAGTCTAGGTAGCCAAGCGGGGGCCATGTAATGTCCATGCAGATCATCGTCTAACAGTGTTCATGACTCTGGCAAGATCTGTCCACAGGTTGGCTGTTGTGCAACGGAAGCACCCATATGGATGTCTTGCTGTTGAGTGGAAAGCCCCATGACCGGTTGATAATTCAAGAGGGCCGTGCTGTCCATGCGGGCACTGTATGGTGGCCCGAGTTGTTTCTTAACGGTAGCTTAGAAGTCCGTAAGCTCCAGCAGTTCAGACGGGAGCCGGCCAGTTGAAAAACTGACTCCTTAACAATGGGTTGGGAGGCTGAATAACCCATGCAGTCCAAATGGTTCGTGAGATGGCTTCTCTATTGGCTTAGTCAGATGGTTGGTAGAGCCGTGCAGGGATTTAGACGGTCTTGCCACCCATGAGGGTAAGGCAGACGGCGTTTTGGAGCTGGACGGTTGGTTGGGAGCTGAGCTTGAAATTCCGTCCGGAGGCCGGTGGCTATAGCGCCAGCAGTAGCTGGCCTCTTGGCTGGGGGATTTTTCTGTGCCTGGGTGGAACAGAGTCTTTTCAGCCGTTCTACCTCTAGCAATAGAGCCATAAGACAAGATTCAAACAGCGAGGTCATCTCAGATTTCTACGGGAGCAAATAACTGTTCCAGCAGGGCGATAGGAAACTCAGGATGTTGAGATTCGGACGGTTAATAAGGTGGAGGAGTAGACTGTTTATCAGTCTGGGAGATAATATCATCAACCTTTCTACTTGGCCGCATCCTTCCTCTAAGCCATTGTGATAGCATCACTTAGCCTGGTAAAGGCTTTCTTAGAGAAAGAGACACTCTATATTGAGGGTCGCCTGAGATCATACATCTGCCACATTTGTGACAAGCTTGTAATACACTAGTAGGATTAAGAAACTTAAACTGAAGCATATTAAAGTAGAGTTGAGTGACTACAGCTAAGTGCAAGAGAATATACATCGACGTGTTGACTCTCGCACACAGGAAAGAAGTGAGGTTTTCCCACCGTCATGCACGGAAGAGCTGTAAGTTGCCAAGTGCTGTAGCTGTGTGGTGTGATTGCAGCCAAAACACTGGATTTATGACAATGATGTAATAGAGGTAGAGTATTTGCACGATTATGAAATTTTGAAAACTTCCTAAATAGCCAAAGGCACCACTTCAGCCCCTGGTTAATACATGGAGCAAGTTTGGAAGAAACATTTTCACGATTTTCAAGTTATGCTCCGGAAACGAAATACGGATGGACAGACGGACTACATGATGACTATATCCCCCCCCATTATATGCCGGGGTGATAAAAATGACATAAATGACCAGTCATTCTGCAGCTATGGTAAATAGGAAAATATGTTTTCGAATGATGCACTGAACATTAAATCTGGAACAACCTTCAACATTTTGCATCAGATGCAAAAAGTAAATTGTGCAAGCTCTTGGACTAAAATATATAAAGTTCTTGACTCACTTGAGAGCTTGGGTCGGTAGTGTATTGCTCGCTGATAACTCTCCAAGGCCTCATGGAATCGTTTCTGTTCTTGCAGCAGGATGCCACTGTAATTAAAACAGATTACACATACCAACAAAAGTTCAATCAGAAATGTCTAATTTGTGCAACATTTTGTTATGTGTCTCACTTCTCAACACATTAATTATTCCCAACTTACCTGTCCATATTGAATTTCAACTTTCATCACATTAATCTTTATGGTTACAATATTCATCAATATTCTCATAAAAAAGCCACAAGGCTCTGCAGCTCACTTGAACTTTTCTGTAATTTACGTAAAATCAAAAAGGTCTTACTAGTCAGGCTTCAAAGTAAACTCTTAACAAGGAGCCCAAAGAATCTCAAGGAGCCAAGCCATAATGCATGAAGCCAAGAGTTACATTTGCATTTGGATTGTGTTATTTGACATCACAAAGTAATAAAACACAAGTTCAAGCTAACACAAAATTCCTTTTTAATTTGGCAAGTCACTGGACTCCAGTTATATCGAAAACAACAATGATTTGTTATAGCGAAGCAAAGTCGCCAACTGGCCAAAGGCGTTCCTCAAGTCTGCAGTCTGACACATGATTGAGTGAGTGAGTGAGTTGGGTTTCACGCTGCTTTTAACATTATTCCAGTTATATCACGGCGTGTCAACTTAATGTGGGATGAAAGCCCGAAGTGATGCAGGTCTCGGACGTTTACCACTTCCGTATGATGCTGACAAACCTAGAAACATAATCGGGGCAAACCAGGATTCAAACCCACAATCATAGGTTTCTGGCGTGCCTTAGACGACTGGGCCACCCGTGTCCCCCTACTTGATTGAAACATACTGTGCAGGCATTCCTCAAGTCTGCAGTCTGACACAAGATTGAAGCATACTTTGCAGGCATTTATCATGTTCTGCTGTTCATTGCTGACGATTGGGTTGGCTGGGCTGCTGTCTGTCGTCTTCTTCGGTTTCCCGTCAAGATGGCGGCTGGCTTGACGCTGCTTTTGTCCCCCATCACCTCTGAACTACCATTTGGTTTGCTGTGAGTTAGGGTAGGGACAGCAAACTCACGCTACCCGGATAATTCTCCATCATCTATCATGTTCTGATTAAAGGGGGTAGCTTAGCCAGGTAGAACAAGAGATGACTAGTACAATATACACAGATTTATTTACATGAACATCATATACATAAGTAGCTAACAATTATATACAACAATGGCGAGCATACATATTCTTCCCAGAGACCGAGCATGTTCCTAGGAAGGCAAGAGCAAGTCTGTAGACACTTACTTACTAAAAGGGGTTTGTGTGTTTTTATAGGTTTAGAATTTTAGGGTTTATTGGCAGCTTGTTTGTTGTTCTTATATTTTTAAATGAGACCAAGTAGGCCTGTTTTGATTAGATATATGCCTAGTGCTTTAAACGTTTGTAAGTCATTTAGGGGGTTTAGTACCGTTGCTAGTGTCATTTGATGTCAATTTAGTGTGAATTGGAGTGTTGTTCTGTGTTGCTGGAAATGTGTGCAGTATAGTATTACGTGTTCAGGCGTTTCTTTTAAGTTGCAGTGGGGGCATTTACCGGTTTGGTGTTTTTTGATTTGGTGTAGGTGGGAGTTTAACTTAGTGTGGTCGGTTTGTAGTTTAGTTATTATTACTCTGTCAATTTTTTTGGTTTTATGATGGATTTTTGTTTTTTTGAGTGGCTTTTGTAGCAGGTGTTTTAGTTTGCAATCAGATGTCAGATAGTTATTTTGCCACTTTGGGAAGATGTGTGTTGTATGGGAGGTGTGTGATATTTTTGTACTTTATGTTTTAATGAGTCTGAAAGAATTAGTTTTTTTTTGTGTCTATTTATTTGATCGCTGTGCAGGGCTATTACTATCCCCATTAATTCGGCTGTGAAAATTGATTGATTATTTGGGAGCCTATATGATTGCGTTTCTTTTGGGGGTTTGTTGATATGGATGCCGAATCCTGTGTAGTTTTGAGCCCGGGTCAAAGGACCCGTCTGTGTAAATGTGACACCAATTTGGCCATTTTTCATGAATGTGTGCTAGTGTGATGGATTTAGCGGTATTTGCATCAGTTTCTTTATTTAGTCTGGTGGAGAGAGATATGTCAATTTTGGGGGTTTGGAGTTTGGGTGTAAAGGTGTTATTTGGGGCTGTGTTTAACTGTAAATTATTTAGGTTGTGTGTATTTAGGTAATTTATTATGCGTTGTGAGATTGGTGTTAATTGAGGGTTTTTGCGAGCTAGAGCTTGGAGTCTGGGGCTAATGTTAGTTTTAAGGATCTGTTGGATTTGTTGGTTTTGTTGGTTTTGTTGGGTTGAGGCCCAGTAATTTATTGTTAGATATTCTTGGCGTAGTTCCAGGGGTATTTCGCCTGTTAGTGCTTGTAGCGAAATGCGCGGCGTGCCATGCTGGGTGCGTGTGATTATCTTGAGTGCTTGACATTGAATTGAGTTTAGTTTATTGCTTAATGAGGAGTTTAAGGTGCTGTATATTTGGCACCCATAGTCTATTTTTGATCTAATTAGTGATTTGTAAAGTGACAGTAGGGTCTCCTTGGAGGCCCCCCAGTTGGAACCTATCAGGCAGCGTAGTGTGTTTAGGTCTTTAGTGTATCTATTTGTTAGGTTTTTATTGTGAGTACCCCAGGTTAGGTGTTCATAAAAGATTAGTCCAAGGAATTTGGTTTCTTTTTGGAATTGTATGGTTTTTTTGTTTAGTTGTAGTTTGTGGGTGCTTGCGCACATATTTCAGTGTTTGAATACTATCCCTGTGTTTTTTTCGGCATTTAGCGAGAAACCCATTTATTTGCCCATATTTGAATTTTATTTAATGCATTCTGCAGTAATTCTTGAGCCATATTTATACTTCTGGTGCAGACCCAGAGGGCTCCATCATCCGTGTATTTGGAAGTTTGAATTTTATTGGGTATTCCCTCGAATAGGTCATTAAGCATAATGTTGAAAAGTGTTGGGCTTAGAATGCTACCTTGGGGTGTGCCATTTCCTAAGGGACACTGGTCCGATAGCGTTTGGTCGATACCCACAGTTATTATACGATTAGTTAGGAAGTCTTGGATATAGTTTATTATTTGGCCTTTAAGTCCTGCTTTTTTTAGTTTTTGTATTAGCCCGTTATGCCATACCATATCGAAAGCTTTAGAGAAGTCTAGAAATATGCCTACTGTGTATTGTCGGTTTAGTTGGCCCGTTTTGATGTCTTGTTCTAATTGGGCGAGGTTGTCTAAGGTTGATCGGCCTGGGGTGAATCAACTTTGATCTTGGTTTATTAGATTGTTTTGGTCTAGATAGTGTTGGGAGTCTATTTTTGACCATTGCCTCCATGATTTTACATAAGTTTGAGGTTAGGGAGATTGGTCTGTAGGAGTTTGCCTCATTTGCTGGTTTGTTCGGCTTTGGTATTGGGATGACCAATGCCTCTTTCAATGTAGTAGGAACCTGACCGTTTTGGTAGATGAGATTGTATAGTTTAAGTAGTGATTCCAGAAGACTTTGAGGTTGCTGTTTAATCATTTGGTATGAGGTAAGGTCTGGTCCTGGGGCTGTTCCTTTTTTTCTATTATTTAGTACATGGAGTAGTTCCTCTAGTGTATATTGTTTGTTAATTTCTAGGGACATCATCTTTGGGTAATTTGAAGAATTTATTTTGGTTTTTAATTTTTTTTGGAATTCCTCAGGGAAGTTACTATTACTACTAATGGGTGAGAAGAGGTCTGTGAGGTAATTTGCTTTTTGTTTAGGGTTTGTCGAGTTATTTATGTTTGGTGTTTTTTTGGTTGGTTTAATGCCTCGGATTGTGTGTATTTTACGCCATACAGTTCTTGCGTCTGTGTGTGGGTTATTTCTTTGCAGAATTTTTTCCAGTTTTTGGCTTTTGCCGTTTTGACAAAGCTTTGTACTTCATGGTTTAATTGATGTGCTATCTTTAGATATGTGTTGTCTCATTTAGCTTATTAAATGCGCTTTTGCGTTTTTCCCAGTTTTTTTAATTTCCTCGGTCTACCAGGGTACTGTGGTTTTGCCTACTATTGGTGTTGTGAAGGGGATATGTTTTTTTTGCTATGTTGATTATGCATTCTGTTAAGTTTTGGCAGTATTGTTTGGGGACTTTATTTTCGAGATCCGCTGGGTTGATCTGTTTGCATAGTGCTTTGAATTTGTCCCAGTCTGCCTTGTTTTAATTGAATTTTGGTTCTTGGGGTTTATTTAGGGTTTGGATATTTATGTTTCCTATGGTTATGTGGATTGGAAAGTGGTCGCTGCCGAGTGGCTCCTCATTCACTTCCCACAAAGTGCTTTGGGCCAGATCAGGGGTACATATTGTTAGGTCTATAGCCGACATATTTTGATTAATTTCATCATATCTAGTGGGTTGGTAGTAGTATAGACAATGACAGTTCTACCGCAACCCCACTTGAACCAGATTTATATTCCTATACTGCTACGACAGAGGGAACTTTTTATGTCAAAATGATGATGTGATTCAATGATCGTCATGAGATTAATATAATTAACCTAAATTGACTCTAGCTCACCACCACCTGGAGCCAATCAATGCTTCTATGATATAAATTTTAATAGACAATGACAGTTTTACCACAACCCCACTAGAGCCAGATTTATATACCTATACTGCTACTACAGAGGGAATTTTTTATACAAAAATGATGATGTGATTCAACGATCATCATGATTCATATTATAAGAAACATCAATATTAATTTACCATAGTCGATGAGGATATTGGAAAGGTATAGGAGCAATAAAAAAATTAGCCTCCACGGCTAAGGTATCTAAAGATGTGGCCAAGGATTGGCTTAAGAAACAAGCGATGTGGCAAATATACTTACCGGCACCACGTTATATCCCGAGGAAGAAGTTTGATATTTTTACAACGAATGAAGTTCATCAGGCTGACCTCTTGTTTCTTCCCCACGATAAGATAAGACGTAAAACGTATCAATACGCTTTAACCTTGGTGGATGTGGCTATTCGCTACAAGGAGGCTGAACCATTAACCTCGACAGATTCAAC